TTCAAACCTGCTTGTCCCCTATTTTGGCCGCTCTGTGTTTCATGGGCTGGCAGTCATCTAACACTACTCCTGGAGCCTGGGCACTCATCATTCCTACCTGATTACTGCATACCCCCTCACTGCCTCCCTACCCCCAGTCCCAAGTCCCACACTACTACCAGGCGCACATTCTAAACTCCTCCCTTAGCATCTTATTAACAGCAGATGTGGTCCACAATCCTGCACACAGCACATGAAACCTTTATGATCAAACCCAGTGGTTACCAATTAACATTATTGCCCTTCCCTTTGAAGGCCTTTTGCAAACGTTATGGATGTTGGGGTTATGGTAGAAAGGTAGAACTGGAGGTGCACCTCAGTGGCACAGCATTTGCTTAGCATGTGTAAGGCCCTGGGTTCCATTCCCAGCACTGTCAAGGGAAAAAAAAATCAAGAGAAAGTAGTGAGGGTGGGAGGCTGCACATACCAAGTGCTCAGGGTTCAGTGATGCTAACTTCCTGTAATGTACTTGATAGTCACAAGGATTGTGAAAATGCCGAATGGTGCCCCTGTTATGGAGTGGAAAATTTAAATTTTACCTTCTGCCTAGAGCAGTGTAGAGAGAGATGCTGAGCTCTAGTCTTGGGAAGTATTTATTTTGGGGAATGAGAGGCAAAAGAGGAACTGGTGGTAATAAAATTTTACAAAAATGCAGGGAAGAATTTTTTTTTTTTTTTTCATTTTTCTTTTATTATTCATATGTGCATACAAGGCTTGGTTCATTTCTCCCCCTGCCCCACCCCCTCCCTTACCACCCACTCCCCCCCTCCCCTCCCCCCCTCAATACCCAGCAGAAACTATTTTGCCCTTATCTCTAATTTTGTTGTAGAGAGAGTATAAGCAATAATAGGAAGGAACAAGGGGTTTTGCTGGTTGAGATAAGGATAGCTATACAGGGCATTGACTCACATTGATTTCCTGTGCGTGGGTGTTACCTTCTAGGTTAATTCTTTTTAATCTAACCTTTTCTCTAGTTCCTGGTCCCCTTTTCCTATTGGCCTCAGTTGCTTTAAGGTATCTGCTTTAGTTTCTCTGCATTAAGGGCAACAAATGCTAGCTAGTTTTTTAGGTGTCTTACCTATCCTCACCCCTCCCTTGTGTGCTCTCGCTTTTATCATGTGCTCATAGTCCAATCCCCTTGTTGTGTTTGCCCTTGATCTAATGTCCACATATGAGGGAGAACATACGATTTTTGGTCTTTTGGCCAGGCTAACCTCACTCAGAATGATGTTCTCCAATTCCATCCATTTACCAGCGAATGATAACATTTCGTTCTTCTTCATGGCTGCATAAAATTCCATTGTGTATAGATACCACATTTTCTTAATCCATTCGTCAGTGCTGGGGCATCTTGGCTGTTTCCATAACTTGGCTATTGTGAATAGTGCCGCAATAAACATGGATGTGCAGGTGCCTCTGGAGTAACAGTCTTTTGGGTATATCCCCAAGAGTGGTATTGCTGGATCAAATGGTAGATCGATGTCCAGCTTTTTAAGTAGCCTCCAAATTTTTTTCCAGAGTGGTTGTACTAGTCTACATTCCCACCAACAGTGTAAGAGGGTTCCTTTTTCCCCGCATCCTCGCCAACACCTGTTGTTGGTGGTGTTGCTGATGATGGCTATTCTAACAGGGGTGAGGTGGAATCTTAGTGTGGTTTTAATTTGCATTTCCTTTATTGCTAGAGATGGTGAGCATTTTTTCATGTGTTTTCTGGCCATTTGAATTTCTTCTTTTGAGAAAGTTCTGTTTAGTTCACTGCCCATTTCTTTATTGGTTCATTAGTTTTGGGAGAATTTAGTTTTTTAAGTTCCCTGTATATTCTGGTTATCAGTCCTTTGTCTGATGTATAGTTGGCAAATATTTTCTCCCACTCTGTGGGTGTTCTCTTCAGTTTAGAGACCATTTCTTTTGATGAACAGAAGCTTTTTAGTTTTATGAGGTCCCATTTATCTATGCTATCTCTTAGTTGCTGTGCTGCTGGGGTTTCATTGAGAAAGTTCTTACCTATACCTACTAACTCCAGAGTATTTCCTACTCTTTCTGTATCAACTTAAGAGTTTGGGTCTGATATTAAGATCCTTGATCCATTTTGAGTTAATCTTGGTATAGGGTGATATACATGGATCTAGTTTCAGTTTTTTGCAGACTGCTAACCAGTTTTCCCAGCAGTTTTTGTTGAAGAGGCTGCTATTTCTCCATCGTATATTTTTAGCTCCTTTGTCAAAGATAAGTTGCTTATAGTTGTGTGGCTTCATATCTGGATCCTCTATTCTGTTCCACTGGTCTTCATGTCTGTTTTTGTGCCAGTACCATGCTGTTTTTATTGTTATTGCTTTGTAATATAGTTTGAAGTCAGGTATTGTGATACCTCCTGCATTGTTCTTTTGACTGAGTATTGCCTTGGCTATTCGTGGCCTCTTGTGTTTCCATATAAATTTAACAGTAGATTTTTCAATCTCTTTAATGAATGTCATTGGAATTTTGATGGGAATTGCATTAAACATGTAGATTACTTTTGGGAGTATAGACATTTTTACTATGTTGATTCTACCAATCCATGAGCATGGGAGATCTCTCCACTTTCTATAGTCTTCCTCAATCTCTTTCTTCAGAAGTGTATAGTTTTCCTTGTAGAGGTCTTTCACATCTTTTGTTAGGTTTACACCTAGGTATTTGATTTTTTTTGAGGCTATTGTAAATGGAATTGTTTTCATACATTCTTTTTCCGTTTGCTCATTGTTAGTGTATAGAAATGCTAATGATTTTTCTATGTTGATTTTATATCCTGCTACCTTGCTATAGCTATTGATGATGTCTAGAAGCTTCTGAGTAGAGTTTTTTGGGTCTTTAAGGTATAGGATCATGTCGTCTGCAAATAGGGATATTTTGACAGTTTCTTTACCTATTTGTATTCCTTTTATTCCTTCTTCTTGCCTAATTGCTCTGGCTAGGAATTCCAGTACTATGTTGAATAGGAGTGGAGATAGTGGGCATCCTTGTCTGGTTCCTGATTTTAGAGGGAATGGTTTTAATTTTTCTCCGTTAAGTATAATGCTGGCTGTAGGTTTGTCATATATGGCTTTTATAATGTTGAGGAACTTTCCTTCTATTCCTAGTTTTCTTAGAGCTTTTATCATGAAATGATGTTGGATCTTATCAAAGGCTTTTTCTGCATCTATTGAGATGATCAAGTGGTTTTTGTCTTTGCTTCTGTTAATGTGGTTTATTACGTTTATTGATTTTCGTATGTTGAACCACCCCTGCATCTGCAGGGAAGAATTTAAGGGGAGTAATGTATTGGAAATTGTAGAAGTGCAAAGAACTGCAAGTGGGGAAGGCTATTGATTGGTTGTTCTTTGTGCTGTCCTTCTCATCCCTGGGGTCTGTAATCACACTCAGACCCTGCTCTATACAAATAGCAGCTGCCTGTGGCATCCCTTTTCCTTCTTCTGCATGGCTGGAACCTTCTCTTTTCTGTTACTCCACTGCCAGACTTCTAGTCTCTCAATTTGGCCCCGTATTTGGCCAATTTTGCCATCTCTGGTTTAGTTAGATCTTTGGCCATCTCATTACACACAAATAAAAATGTCACAAGTTATATTGTAAAGATTCAGCTAATGACAAGAACAGTAGCAACAACAATAGTAAACCCTATTTGCCAGGTACTGTGCTTAACTTCTAATAAACGTTTCCTGTTTAATCCTCATCAGAATCCCTATTAGGTAGCAGCTACAATTATACCTCTTTATAGTTGGCAAGTTGAGAATAACCAGTCCACATGTAAATCCTATACAGCTAGGATTCCATGAAACTTGGATTTACATATGCTTCCCCCCTCTCATTTTAAAAAATAGATTTTGTTTTTCTTAGAGCAGTTTTAGGTTTTCAAAGCAAAATTGAAAGTACAGAGAAGTCTTTTATACCCCACACATGCAGAGCCTCCTCCACTAGTGTGTTAGAATGAAGGAACATACACTGGTACACATTATCACTCAGTTTCATAGTTAACATTAGGGTTCACTGTTGGTGTACATTCTATGGATTTTGACAAGTATTAATGACATGTATCTACCATTATGGTATCATACAGAATAATTTTGCTGCCCTAAAAATTCTCTGTGCTCTACCTGTTCATCCTCCCCTCCCTTCTTCCCTGGTAACCACTGATTTTTTTTTTTTTTTACTGTCTCCATTATATCTTCTTGACATTTAAAAAAAACAAGTTCAAAGTCACATTTTATCATTGAGAAGTTACAGCAATCTAGTGGAATCATGTTTACTTCTTAAGAAATGGGTTCTTCTTTGTGCCATATTTTGCTTCGTTTCTGGGAATCTGCTTGGCTATTTGGACATATGCGTGAGGCAGCATAGGAGTATCTCAGAGCTTTAGGCGAGCTATGTTTTTTCCTTCACAAACCGGCAATAGAATTATATATAGACCAACAATTAGTTTGACTAGATATTCCTGCCATTAGCAATGAGACCACTGTAGAAGAGAATTAGAGATGAGACGGGTCTACTTTCTAGCCTGTGTCTGCTATTCAGTGCAAACCTAAAACTGCTGATAAAGGACATTGAGGGCCCTTTTGGAGATGCTACCAGAACTGGTTGGCTAAGTAGCTGCATTTCCTATGAAAGAAATCCTGGAATTATTTGTCTTTACACCTGCATATTAAGAAAACTGCATACCACATCTCAAGTACTACACACAATTGCTTTGTGACGGATTGGACTTTTTGAAGCTCATTGCTGTGTTTTTCAACAGATTGATGACAATAAATTGCCTTGGCACAGCATCAGTCCAGAAGAAAATGGTAAATGTTTCTAAGCTCATCTAGCATCTGCTCCATTGGTGGTATACCTCTGGTATGAATGGGCTACAGCAGATACAGCTTTGCTCTGTAGTTAGTGTCCACTGGAGTCCTGAGCATTGAATCTCTCTTTTTTTGTTCCTCTCCCAGAAGCTCCCTGTGCCACGCCACTGATCTGCAGCTTTGGGAGGCCAGTGGATCTGGAGAAGGATGACTACCAGAAGGTGGTGTGCAACAATGAGCACTGCCCCTGCAGTACCTGGATGCACCTGCAGTGCTTCTACGAGTGGGAGAGCAGCATCCTGGCACAGTTCAACTGCATTGGCCGGGCCCGTAGCTGGAACGAGAAGCAGTGCCGCCAGAATATGTGGACCAAGAAGGGCTATGACTTGGCCTTCCGCTTCTGCTCCTGCCGCTGTGGGCAGGGCCACTTAAAGAAGGATACAGACTGGTACCAAGTGAAGCGGATGCAGGATGAGAAAAAGAAGAAGTCTGGATTGGAGAAGAACACAGGGAGACCACCGGGGGAGGCTGGGGAGGAGGCAAAAAAATGCAGGCCCCTGAACAAGCCCCAGAAAGGCCTGAACCATGACCTCCCCCGACGGCATTCCATGGACCGGCAGAACTCCCAAGAGAAAGCAGTCAGTGCTGCAGCCTATGGTGCCCGCTCCCCTTGTGGCTCCCCTGGCCAGTCGCCCCCCAGTGGCTACTCTATCCTCTCCCCTGCCCACTTCAGTGGTCCCCGCTCCTCTAGATACCTCGGGGAATTCTTAAAGAATGCCATCCATCTTGAGCCTCACAAAAAGGCCATGGCCGGGGGCCACGTGTTCAGAAATGCACACTTTGATTACAATCCGGCTGGATTATCGGTTCACAGGGGAGGTCACTTTGACACCCCTGTACAGTTCCTGCGGCGGCTGGACCTTTCCGAGCTCCTTACTCATATCCCCAGGCACAAGCTGAACACCTTCCATGTGCGGATGGAAGACGATGCCCAAGTGGGCCAGGGCGAGGATCTGCGGAAGTTCATTCTTGCAGCTCTTAGTGCCAGCCACAGAAATGTTGTAAATTGTGCTCTGTGCCACCGGGCACTCCCTGTCTTTGAACAGTTCCCACTGGTGGATGGAACTCTGTTCTTAAGTCCCTCGAGACATGATGAAATCGAATATGATGTTCCCTGTCACCTTCAAGGTAGAGGTGTTCGTTCACCTTGCCTGCTTTCTATTTGTCAAAACCCCAAAGCAAACAAGGTGTAATCACTCTGTTTTGCTTTGACTTTAACATGCATTTTCATTCAGGTGCTAGGTAACCTGAGTATTTAGCTTCATACAGTGAGGTGCTGGTGGGTTTTGTACCTTGATGTCACTATACCAAGTAGAGTTGGCATGGTGGGTAATTTTGTGTTCTCATTCTCCTTCAATTTGAAGACAGGATTGCTGGTGTGTAATTTCTCATAATTGGGAGGAAATTGAAAGAAGGAATTGCATAAGTCTCCTTGCTATAAAGTAGCTGCTTTAATGTACCCAGCAAGTGTGTATTTTATTGGATCCTTATAGATACAAATGAAGGAAATGGAACAAGAAGGGACAGTCTGTTTTCAGATTAGTTGAACAGATTTTGAAATTATAAAAGATGAGACTGTCTTGATAGGATCAAAAGGAAAATGGAGGATTATTGAAAGCTCTGAGATGACGTTTTGGTGAGGGGCAGTAGGGAAGTTTATATGGATACTGTAGAGGATTTGGGCATATTTCAGTTGTAAATTGGATAGGGTTGGTTTGTACAAGTGTGGACTCCATTAATTCTGGTAAAACTGCTGAATTTCCACAAAGATGAGATACAAAATATATGACATGTTCATAACTTTAAACATAAGCTGAAAAAAATCCTGTAATAAAAGCGATACATTGCTTGTCTTCGTATCAACTCCTGCTGTCCCCATCCACAGAGACACAGTGTTAAACACTTCAAGTGTTTGACATCATAATTTTATATACCATACCTTCGTTCTTCAGTTTTAGATACTAGCTCTTGACTTAAGGTGGATGACTGCATATCCCCCCTTCTTTCAGGGTAATAGATCATAATTCTTAGTTAAATCTTTAACATTTTTGCAGTGAATATGCAGAAACATTATAGTGTTGAGTCAAGGTATATAGGTGTATTTCCTATCATACAGACAGTGTATTCGAGGACACCTTTTGTTTTCATTAGAGTGAATTTCTTCACGTGTGGATTTGCTTAGGGTTTTTTTTTTTTTAAACCTTGGCTAGTTGCTGTCATTCTCCAGCATCTTTACAAGCGACCTTTCAAAAGCATCTCCAACACTTGGCACGTTTTTTTTTTTTTTTGAAGTTTTTTCTTCTGAAAGTGTCTCTTGTGCAGGCTTTCATCCCACTGCTCCTATCTGTCCAGGTGCACTGAAAACCTGCTGTATAAATTGTCCTAGAAAGCTTTGTTTCTCTCCTGTGTTTTAAATCTTGTCTCCTAGATTTGTTATTTTCTTTTTTCTTGGGTTATTCTCTCAGTTTGTTAGCGGACATACCCATGAGCTTTCTGAGAAGGGGGTCGTGGGGATGCATGATTTGAGACTTTGAGAATGTCTTGATTTTATCTTCATATTTGATTACCAGCTGGTATAGTCTACATTATATTTTTCCCCTGGAAATTTGGAAGGCATTTCTTCACTGTTTCATATCTTATACTGTTGATGTTTGAGAAGTCTTCTTTTTCTTCTTCCTGCCTCCACCTTTACCCTCCCTGAAAATCTCCCTCTCCCTCCCCCTCCCCAAAGGTAGAAACCTTTGTGTGTGTGTCTGTCTGTCTGTCTCTTTGTGTGTGTGTGTGTGTGTATGTTGAGGCAAGTTTTTACAGCTGAGACTGGCTTGGAACTTGCTGTGCAGCCTAAATGTTGGGATTACACCACCATCCCCAGCTAGTTTTTCTTTTTATATCTCATGCGTTCTAAAATCTCACCATGATATGTTTCTTGTTTTCCTTCCTCCATTCATTGTACTGTGTACTGTTTTAACCCATTGACTCTGTAAACTTAGGATCTTCACTTCAGAGGAATTTTCTTTTGTAGTTTTCCTTTGATAATTTCCTCCTAATTATACTTTTAAAAAAATCATAGAACTCCTATTATTCAGATAATTGCTGGGCCGGCTCTGAGGTAGAGCACCTGTCTGGCAAGCATGAGGTCCCAAGTTCAAACCCCAGTGCTGCCAAAAAGAAAGAAAAAAGGAAAAGATGGGAGATGATAATGCCTGGCTTCCCTTGGGGGGAAAATGATTGCCACACCAAATATTGCACTTCTTAGATTGATTCCTTTTTTTTTCCTTTTGGTGGAAGAATCCTTTTTAAAATCTATTGTTTGTGTTTATTATGCTTTCTGGAAGATTTCCTTGACTTTCTGTTCTCATACGTTTAATTTACAGGGGCTCTTTTTGATAACATCCTGTTCTTGTTTCATAGATGTAATTTCTTTTATCTTTTTGAGCAAGAAAAGGAGGCTGAATTTGAGGGAGTCATTATATTTGTTTTGAGAGTTTTACCTAATTATCTATGTCTGTTGCCCTTTGTTATAAAGCAGAGCACTCCAAAACTTAGTGGCTTTAAAATGAGTGATGTAAGGACCTCTCAGAATTCTGTGGCTTGGTGGGTGAGGATGGCCTCTCACATACATCTAGCAGATGATGGCTAGTTGGCCTTTGGAAACCTCAGCTGGAATGGCCAAGATAGTTGAAATTTGCAAAAGATACAAGAAGGTGAGAAACTGCTGTATGGTGACAGTGGGAATTGAAAGGAAGGGATATCTGCAAGAAGTTCTTTTGAAGGAAAATTACAGATTTGGGGACATGTTGACTGTAAAGGATGAAGAGTTTTCATTCGCTCACTTCATTCTAGACAGGTGAATGGTGCTGTGAAAGGAGTAGAGAAGGCTGGGACAGGGAGCTGAGCTTTGGAGAGAGAAGATGAGGGCATTGGGGTGGGGGTTGACTTATATTCAGTGCCCAGCAAGCACTGTTAGAAGTGAGCATTTGGGGTGAACAAGAGGAGCTTATTTTATAACAGTGAGGCTTAATCTTGAGAGTAGGAGAGCTCTTCAATGAGGAAAAAACAGAAAAGAAAGGGAATATGACAGAGAGTTAAAAATTAGATAGGCCCAAGTTATTTGTGCATACACACAAGTATGTAAACATCCAAAAAGAGATAATGGCTGTGTTAGGTGTGTGTTACAAAGGTATTGAGGATTAACTGTTTTAGAATCTGAAGGTCAAGGTGTCTCATCAGTACCAGAGAGTCAACCGGTGCCACATGTGATGCCTTGGTCACTGGTTAATGTTTTTATTGCTGCTTCTCAGAGAGGTCTAGGTGATCTTATTTATAGCAAGGTACTATAAATCATTGTTCCGTCAGAGTCCCAACATGTACTTTTGAAAGGTTTCCATTCCAGTAGGAAGGCCACAGGATTCCATAATTCACAGCTGATTATATGTTGCTGACATGCTTGCTGTTTTCACTGGTGGACTCTGTGATTGGTATTTCTTTTCCCTTCTCCAACTGTGCCTCTAGTCCCTGTTCTTTGACTCAGAAAATGTTTCATTTGCTTTCAGTAATTTATCAAAATTGGTCTAATTATGAAGGTCCTCTTGGACTTTGTCACTTTACAACACGTGATTATACACACAGGAATCTGCTTTTCTGTTTGAACTCCCAAACAAAACCTTGTCCTAGGATTTAGAAATTTAAATTATCTGTATTTAGGACAGTGTGTAATAGTAACTGAAAGCAAATCCAGAGACTCAGTTTGGGCTAGTCCTTCCCGAGTTTGCCCATAGGTTAAGAGTCAAGATAGATAGGAATTTGCCTCTGGACTTTGCCATTTATTTTCTTTGTGAAGCTGGGCTCAAGCTCTCTAACCTTGAGTTCCTCCTGTCTGAAGTGGGAAAAGTCATGTCTACTTTGTAGTGTTACATGAAAAGACTCACAGAGAGCCCACAGCACAGTGCAGACTTTGCTAAATGTGCAATAAAGGTTCCTCGTTGTCTTCAGCATTCGTCTTGGCACCAGTACCTGACTTCTGTGTCTGCTGTTAGCAGTCCCTGAGTAACAGCCTTTCACCTTCGGTTGATTGAGAATTGCAGTTGAGTAGATCTAGGATGGAAACTGAAATGAAGTGTTTTCCAGTGGCACCTGGGGTTTGAACTCAGGTCTCATGCTTGCTAGGCTAGGCAGCCATGCCCCCAGACTCTTGCCTTTTTTATTTTTTCCTGTGCTGTAGTTATTTTTTTGCATAGGGTCTCAGGGTTTTTCCCAGGGTTGGCCTCAGACTGTAGTCCTCCTGCCTATAGCCTTATCTGTAGCTGGGATTATAGAAGTGATCTACGACACCTACCTTTTTTATTGAGTTGGTGGGGTGGATTTCACTGAATTTTTGCCTGGACTGGTTCGAACAGCTGGGATTACAGGTGTGAACACCATGCCCAGCTTTAACTGACTACTTAATGTGCCATGCCCTCAGGCCACTCAGAGTAGGTGTGGCGTGTGAGACCTTATTTTCTCCTGCTGTTATTTTCAGGGGCCTAGTACAGAGGTAGGTGGTATGACAATAAGCTGTTGTCATTCTTCCTGTTTCTGGCATAGAGGTCCTCAAGGTTATAATGTCTGGCTATTGGCACGTGCCATCCATCCACCCAGCACACACTTAGGAGTGCTTTCCACATTCCAGACATCGTGATGGACACTGAGTCTAAAAGGGTACGTGGCATGTTTCCTATCCTCATCGAGGCAAGGAGTCATGGAAGGAAATATGACAAGGTTCTCTCTAAGGAGCCTTTCTAGTGATGAGAAGTGATAGGAAGAGGCGATCCTTGCTGTAGAGTGGCTTTTGGATGTGAGCAGCATGTGCTGAAAATGAAGCCACTGTGGAATGGGCTCAGGTGATGGTGTTTTCAACACAGGGGAGCGGCCTGTTCCCACCTAGAGAGCAGCAGTGTTGCTGCTACGCATTGTTCAGGCAGATCCTGTACATTCTGGCTCAGTCACTTGAACTCTGACCCTTCCATATAAATTAAGATGGCATCTTTTGTTTATAAACATTGAGATATTGATAAATCATGAAGATATAAGACTGAATTTTGAGAGCCCTGTGAATAAAAACACATTGGACTTTTAACAAACAACTTAGACGTAAGATGTAATTCTGGTTCTTAAATTAGATGTTATGATAGCTGAGCAGTATGGGGACAAGGACAGTTAACAGTAGTCATTTTGACTATGGTAGAATTCTGGCTGTTAATACCAAGACAGACTTCCAATGTGTTTATGAGACTTGTGGGTGAGAGCTCGTGGTGGCCAGCATTGCTGCTTTATTCTGTGTGCTACACATAGACTTCTTGTCAGCATCCTGCATGATTACAGGGTGTTTTGAGCATGCATGGCTTTGTTAGTTGATTTGGATGGGCAGAATATGTAAGCTGGGAAGCACATTTTAGAAAAGCAAATTGAAGCAAGTGTCTTTTTAAGAAGTTTGAACTTAAGTTACCTATTCTGTTGGTAATATCAGTTCATCATTATTCCAAAAGGACAGCTTTTTGTATTTACCCATTGATGAGATGCTGCCTTGTACTTGGTAGATGAGGCATTTCCTATCCCCTTTGGAGACAAACTGATTTCCACAATGGCCACGCTCATCCATGTGTCTTCTGCTCACAGGGAGACTCATGCATCTGTATGCAGTGTGCGTGGACTGCTTGGAAGGGGTTCACAAGATCATCTGCATCAAATGTAAGTCGCGGTGGGACGGCAGCTGGCACCAGCTTGGCACCATGTATACCTATGACATCCTGGCCGCCTCTCCCTGCTGTCAGGTGGGTACCTGCTCCACTGAGGAGCAGTAGGTGAATGCAGAGGAGTTAGAGGCTGCATTGAGGTTAATTTGTGGTAGCTTGAGGGCATGGGGAAGATGCTTATGAAAATGAAGAAGAAATCCAGCTAAAAATTCCCCGAAGTCCAGCAGTAATGGCTTGTGATGGAATATTATTCAGTCATTAAAAGGGATGTAGAATAATATATCATTCTATTCAGAGTATTTTCCACCCACTAAATCAAAACAGGCATAAAATGGTCAGTGATGCTTCACTTTCAGCAGTTGGTCAGGTCGTGTGGGGGGTGGAATGCCGAGTGGGTCCTTTAGTTTTCTTTTTGCTTTCTTATATTTTCTCATATTTTGCATGATTAGCTTATTCTCAATTTTGAACAAAGGTTTTCGATTTGAAAAGAAGAAAGTGAAACTTTCTTTAAATGATAGGGTTTTCTTGTGGAATAGTGCCCGTTACCTGGGAATTGGTTACTTCTTAAGGTATGTGAGGTTTACAAGAAAGATTTGTGATCCTAAAGCACTAAGAAGAGGCCTTTTCTGATGCTGAGAGACCATCTGAAGTTTAGCTGGTATCAGGAAAAGAGGGAAGTACTGGCATATGAAAACACATTAATTATAGTCATAGAAACACAGGAGATAAAGATGCCTGGAAATGTCTTACTTTATTTCCAAATGCTTGGGGCGGGGGGAGGAAAGAACCTGTTATAAAATAGAATTCCATGATACTCATTTGTAGGGAAGAAGTTGCCCATTGCTTTTCAGTGTGTAAACCTGGCTTTTATTAAAAAAACCAGTATACACTTTATTAGTTATTACAGGATTTTTGTTAACATTAGTGTTGTAGTTGGAGTTTTGTAAAGAGAATATCCTTACTATTAGTTTACTCAGATGGTTACCTCTGTCTGTTGAATTGAAAGAAGCACTATTTCAGCTCTACTTTGTTTATTCTAGTGTTTTTCAGAAGAAAAATTACTTGTGAGAGACCTAAACGGCCACCTGTAGCTGTCCTTTGGTTTTAGATAGGGTTGGCTAATTTTATGCTATTCTTTTTTTTTTGGTAGTACCGGGCTTTGAACTTGTCTTTGCATTTGCTAGGTGGGCAGTCTACCACTGAGCCAGAATGATAAAGTGGTTAAAGAGAATTCATCTCAGGTTTCAGAAAGGTAGTTCTGGTGCTGGTAGAGTATGAGTTCTGGGGCAGGCTGCTGTGGTTCAAATCTTGGCTTTTCTGTGTTCTAACTCTGTGGTCTTGGGCCTGGTCTTTATCACTGTGTGCCCCCATTTCATCATCTAAGATTCAGATAATACTGTCTACCTCACAGAAGTGTTTTGAGGACAATTGGGATTATACTTAGTACATCTTTAAAGGAATCTAAATTGAGAGTCTGTTTAATTTATAATTTCTGGTTATTCTTGTCAGTCCTAGACCTGTTGCTGAAAGACTGTAGGATTGCACTGTTAGAGAGAGGCCTGGTATGAATTAAGATAGAGTGTGCTAGAGGATTCCAGAAGACTCAGGATAGACATGGCACTTCTGCCTGTATTGCCAAGTTTATTTGAATATTTTAGAGCCATTTATTTTTACATGAAAGACAACACAGTGTGTTACATGGAGTGAATGAAAAGTATGTATGAACTTTTGAAATAAACCGAGAATCTTCTAAGAAGTTTTATGTTGGTTTGGGTGGGGAAGCCAACCACTCTTCAAATCCAGGGTGCAGGTGGTTCCTGTAGTTTAGGGAGCTTTGGTAGAGAGGTTCAGGTAGTAGGAGTATAGAATGTTCTTCCCATAGGTAGGTGAAAAGCTAGCAGCAGTTCATTTCAAGAGAGAGAATGGGAATCCAAACTGGCGATGATGAATATTTGAACATGTGTCTTTGTTTTGTAATAAAGGAGATGCTTTATTGAACTCTCCCTCAGTTTCCCATTGTTTTGGTTTGGATGACTTTGACAAGTGTTATGAAGTTCAAAGCCTTGTGACTTACAGCATCTGTTTCTCCCAGGCCCGCCTGAACTGCAAGCACTGTGGCAAGCCTGTGATTGACGTGCGGATCGGGATGCAGTACTTCTCTGAGTACAGCAACGTCCAGCAGTGTCCACACTGTGGGAACCTGGACTACCATTTTGTGAAGCCATTCTCCTCCTTCAAAGTTCTCGAAGCTTATTGATGAAAGCTTTGCTTTAGTAATAGCTATTTTATCGATATTATTACTTTATTACATATCTTTTATAGGGAAACATTGTGTGACGTTAATTTCTTTTCTAATTTAAAGCAGAATTTAATTTGTATATGTGTGCCACTAAAATGGGGGCTGCCCTTTGTGCTGTCTTGATTCCAAAATGTTAGTCTGTGGTCAGGATTGGAGCCCAGAAGGGAAATTGTGTGAGTTTGCATAGAGATTCACTCTCATCAGGAGTCTGATGCAGCTTTATGGTGTTGGGGAGGAGGGACGAATTTAGGAGAGGGAGTATATGGCTGTAAATGAAAAGCATGGTAGGAATTGGGAGGGTACTCTTAATAAAATGTTAACTGTCTCAAGACCCACCTTAGATCTTCTATGGGCCCTGGGATAATATGTGACAAGTGAATGTAAGTCTGAGCCTAGAGAGCTAGGAGTGCATTGGGCTGTCTCAGCTTAGTGTCTGTAGCACACGTTGACATGCAGTTTACTTTCACTGACAGACGATGGGACATGAGTGCTGTTCCTTTTACTGTTGTAATTAGCAGCCACTTTTCATGCTGAAAATAATTACCCAATTGTAAGACATAAGAAAGCTGTTGGTGTTGCAAGTATTTTTAGGTAAGCTGACTTTGTAACACAGACTATGTGAAATGAATTTGGAAATGGTTCACACTGAACCAAGAGGGCAAATGACAGAACTCTGTTATTTGAATTGTGTCTGAAGTTGGTCAAAACAACTCTTAAGGAGAATCCATGCATAATGTGATTTGGGCAGTGCTAATTGATGTCAGATCCTTCTCACAGGTAAATTTCACAGCCACAGAACCTAACTGGTGAGCTTCAGAGCAAGTCAGACCACACTTAATCTTATTGCCATATTTAGCCCACTTAATATGAGTTTCCAGACTAAAAAGTTGACCTGCAAAGGGAAAGGGGAAGATTGAGAGAATGAAGAAAAAAGAATAATTTTAGTATTTTTTTTTTCAGTACTGGGTTTGAACTCAGGGCCTTATACTTGCTCTACCACTTGAGCCACACCCCCAGCCCCTTTTCGCTTTTGTTACCTTTTGGATGAAGTCTCATGTTTTACTGGGGACTAGCCTGGACCTCAGTCCTCCTACCTGTGCCTCTGTGTAGCTGGGACCACAGGCTCACTCCATCATACCTGGCTTGTTGGTTCATATGAGGTCTCACTAACTTTTTGCCTGGGCTGGCCTTGAACCATGATCCTCCTGATCTGCGCCTCTCAAGTAGCTGCACCACTACCATGTCCAGCCCCTTAATGTTTCTTTTAAAAGTATGCTTCATTTTGGAAAATTAAAATGTAATGCAAACAGCATATTTGAGAAGTAAATCATTCTAAAGATCCCCATGATACCTTACTGTTGGTAAAAAACAAAATGATCAGATATAGAACTTGATTAGTCAGAGCATTGAGTACTTCATAATACAGCCTGTGTTCATTAAATCTTGGTTACTTAAATATACTGATACCCCTGTACCCTGGTTGAATTGGAATTGCAATACAATTGCTCCCATATTTGATGATTTCAGGTATGATACCTGTATATGCTAAAAAGAATACTAAAAATAATCATTATGTGGATAGGAAAATTTGGGGTTACTATGAATATTTTTATATTATTTATTTTGTTTACACGATTTACCCTTCAGTGTCATTGTTCCTTTCAGATGTGTTTAAGCAGTATTACAAGTGAGTTTTGTTCTACTCCCCGTGAGCTACTTGATGTCTGTTTGAAACAGTACAGCATTGAAGAACCAGAAGAATCAACTAATACTCTTCATCTTTCCATTTGGATGATTATCACTTGATTTGTTGCATCGGATTTGATGTTTAATGATCTGGAAATGCTTCACAGTGGTGGGGTAGGGAGGACACTCAAAATGCCTGTGAGAAGCAGAAAGTCATTATTGGTCAGACAACGTTTGACACACCTATAAGAGGTCTATTGGACATAGTCTCTGCAAATTTGTCGTTGATGCACAAAAGTATAATTGTGAATTAACTGTTTCTCTATTGATTCTCCTAAACCCTTGGGTATAAGGTTGGTAAGTTTCTCTGGTCTTTAGAGAACCATTTGGATTTTATTTCTGATTTTAAAATAAATAGTAACATATTTGTAATGCTTTTCTTTAACCCACCTACACTTTTTTTAGTGACACCTGTTCTAGTGTTCTGAAACTTAAAAGTTGACCTAGCCATTGCACTCAGTGAGTTTTTGAGTTAGAAGAACCTCTGTGGGTATAGTGTGTGCTACAGTCCATTTTTTCTCCTTAGAGTGTTTTCTACCCCTGAAAAGTAAGGTTTTGGTTTAACTGGATAAAATTTGCTTCTGGACGTTATGATGATAAAGTAGGCTTCTATAGATACATATCTATAGTTGTATAAAAAGAGAAGTCCAAGTACCATACTCTGTATCTTTTGTCTTTAAGGCATTACATTTTTGTCAGACAGGAAAAATTTGGCTGATTTGAGAATAAAATACAGTTCAGTATGCAACACTATAAAGATAAATCTTGTTTTGGAAATCTGCTGACCTTAATGTTTTCTCCAAGCATGCCCTGAGCGCCTTGATTGGAACAGGAATATGTCAAGAGAGATTATTTTTATTGTAGTTAGGGTAGTGAAGAGCATCAGTCACCCAGTAGATGTGATTTCTGTTTTTCTGATGAATAGTGATCAATAACATGCAGCTGTCTTAAGAGTGACTAATTATTTCAAAATGATTTTTTCGTCTACTCTTAACATTTTTTAGTCAGTTATTTTTAAGTGTTCCATGCTTTCAGCAAACAAAGTTACCTGCTTAGTTTTGAGGGAAGACAATTTCTGATTGCTCATTTTCTCTTCAGGGCATCTCACCTCTTTACTTCCTTCTGGTTATATCATGAGCAGCTGAAATACTGGGTTTTTACCTTAAAAGACACACTGTGCCATGCAATGGCAAGTGGGTGAATTGTCCCATTCTAATTCTAAAGTAGTTTCCCCAAACACCCTTTAGGTTTCCTGTTTTTGTAAAAGAAGTTCATCTTCTGAATAAAAGGAATTTCGATAACTGATTGGGGAAAATTAACTTGGCAAGTAAGAATATTACTAAGTGTTTAAATGTTAAAGTTAACAGACTGATACGCACAACTTCTTAGACTACCAAAGCTAACTTGCTGAAATCTTTCCTTTAGTTCTTCAGGACCAATGCTTACTGTGCATTCTGCTCTGCTGTACCCAGGTTGCTAACCCAGTTTGCTTTTCTGTTTAGTTTTCTGGTAGCAGTTGTTGAGTAATTTTAGTTGGAGGTTGGGGAAGAGGTGAGGAGCAAGTACTCTTGTTTTGTGTTTTGGTTCCTATAGTAGAATGCTGCCTAACCCAGTTCATTTCCATGTCCTGTTGACTTACTATTCCAGGGAATTGAAAAAAATTTAACAGATGGGCACTGTTAAAAGCAGCTCAAAAATATATTGCTGTTTGTAAAGATTTCTTGTCAAGATGTCTTGAATGCACTTTTGTTGAGGGAAGACAGTGTAAATAGTTGAAGAATGTTGATAAAATTGAAACATTTGGGTATGGAATTTTGTGTGATGTTAGAGGGTTTCTGTTTGTGAAATGTGTATGTATTAAAAAATAATAAAATTTCAGAAACTAACATTGTACTCTTGCTTTTATATGTCACTATTTTTTGTTGGAATTTTGGGAAATGGGGTTATCTGATAAGATAGTAGAGAAGTAGAGATACTCTGAGGTCATAAACACTACTCCCAAAATCATTTCAAAGTCATTATTATAGCCAATCAAAACTATAAACTGCTGCTTACAAGTTATAAACTTGTCACAAAATAAGTATTCTAAGTAACATATTAATCTCTTAGTCCATAGACAGTCCAAAATTAATGTTCTGAGTGTAGAGAACACTACCGAATGGAGAGTGTTAAAGAAGAATAAAAATGGAAACCACAGTATTGATATTCCCCACAGTCACATGGCCAAACCTGAAGTCATCCTGATGCATCCCCCAAACGCTGTAATCATAAATGGAAGTACATACCAATGTGTTATGTCCTTGGCATGATTCTGTGAAGTTAAACCAATCAACTGTAGAAAATAAATTTTAAATTGCTCTACTTGCTTCAAAAGGATGTTAATGTATAACGAAACAGAACAAGCACTTAATGCTTTATAAAGAGTTTGTAACTTGAGCAGCCTTCTTATACCTTCCCTTTGAGGTCTTCTGGTTTGTCAGCTGTTCTTTTATATATACAATAAACTACAGTTTTAAAATTCAATCTGGTTTTAATTTTGATAGTAGGTAGTCCTTGTCTACAAGTATTTTTTTTTTTGATCCCTGGGCTTGTAACAACATTCATAATGAAAAGACTCGATTGTACACTGCTTCAGTTATAAGCAAAGTGAAACCCAAGTCATAATTAAACTTCTTGTGTCTTTATGAAATGTTATCAAGGGTATTATTCATTCTTCACATGTCTTTAGCCCCTTAATTTCATTATCAGTCAATGGATTATATCCACAAAAATACTAGAACATAGGACAGGATACGGCAGCAGAAATAGTCTCCAGTGTGCCAGCAGGTTCCTAGACTGTGTTGTTACTTATTTACTACAGATGCCTCAGGTATAAGTATTATGTTCAAAGGCTTAAAATCTAGGCATATTGTGATATCCCAAAAGAATTGTTACACAGTGATAAGTTTTATTGGAGAAAATTCTTACATGTTCTTAGTGGTTTTCACTCTGTCTTGGTTATATTGTTTTGACTTAAATTTGACAAATTCAGTAGTAATTAGATTGCTAATTTTATGAGCAGTTTAGTAAAGAGTTAAATATTGGAAGAAAAGAAAAATCTTGTCTTGAGCTTTCATTCTTTTTCTATTCTCTCAGCTCTCCACACTGGAGGCCTAATGATCGTAAAATATCTTTGAACACAGTAAAGTACTACACAAGTGTATTATTCGACATAATGTATTTTTAAGGTTTCTAGTAGAAAATTTTAACATTGTGGTATTTTTTTCTTGGTGGGGCTGGGGTTTGAACTCAAAGCTTTGTGCTTGCAAAGCAGGTACACTATGGCTTGAGCCATATCTCCAGTTCATTTTGCTCTGGTTATTTTTGGAGACGGGGGTTTCACAAATTATTTGCCAGAGTTGGACTCAAACCATGATTGTGATCTCAGCCTCCTGAGTAACTAGGATTATAGGCATGAGCCACTGGCACCTGGTTGCCCTTGTGATAATCATATAAGCTCTATTTGGCATTGCTAAACTTCATAACTGGCCAAAAAATAAAAATGAAAAAGAGCATTTTGTTTCATTGAGTTCCACAGAAAACACTGGTAATACTTACCATTTTTCTAATGGAATTGGCCACTAAATCCCTGTTTCTTGGTTATGGGCGCCATGTCAAGTGTTGTAATATGCTTGATTTAAAACTGATGCTATTTTAAAATTTAATTTTAGAATGGCTAATTGCATTCCTAATAAACCCAGTTACTGTAGAAATGGAAACATCATAGCCATAATGATAGAATTTAGAGGTGTGAGAATTTAGAGGAAGGGTTGCTTTTCATTACACACAATGTGTTTACTAAATTGCCTTGGCTGTTGTACTCAGACAAACGAAGGCCAGAGAACTTCAGTTCATGTAAGTTAATGGCTAACTAGAAATTAAATCTAGATTCTCTCTCCTAGTCCTCAATGAGATTTTGGTAAATACTGAGCCAGCTAACCATGGTTCATAAGTGGAATATCCACTAGCTGCCTTCAATTTTTTCCATGTTTTCTGTTATCATTTGTATGCAAGCTATCTTTAGCACTGCCTATTAGTTTGGACATTAGATGCTGAGATCTGTAATAGTCCATGTTACATAAGAAACTGTTTTTAACATGAGCTTTATTTAGGTTCCAGAATTTGTTTTTTCTTGCCTTCAGTTGTTGATTGATTTCACTTTCATTTTCTGTCAAAGCTAACAAATATGGTGGCCTAGGTGAATGGCAGTTCCCTTTATAAATGGAAGGAAATGTCAATTACAGGCCCATACACTTATATATGTAAATAGGAAAATGGCTATTTAACTTGTTTGAAGTGTGAGTTTGGGGATGGGTATAATATAAAGACGAAAAAGGAGATGTGTCTGGACCGTCTATTGGAGCAGTGAGTACCCAGAAGTGAGGAACCTTATGGGCACACAGCCTGCAGATGTTGGTAAATGTATTTCTTATAGATGTTAGTGGGTGACAAAATTTTTGGAGAGAGAATCTGGGTTTTTGACAAGGAAGTAGATAGACTTAAAGAGGTACAATAGCCCTTGCTGTAGCAGCACAGGTGCTAAAAAATAGTAATTGCAAGAGGCCTAACCAGCCCTTTGCTTAACGGCAACACACAATGTTTTTGTCTTATTTGTGTTGCTATAATATCTAAGATAGTAATGGTAGACAATAGGAATTTCTCACAATTTTGGAGGCTGGGAAGTCCAAGATCAAGGTGTCAATATCTGACGAGGGCCTTGCTGAATTGCATCCTCACATGGCAAAAGAGCAGAGGAAAGCGAATCCACTCCTGAAAGCCTTTTTAATAGCATTAATTCACTCAGTCCTCCCAGTAGAACCTCCCAGTGGTTTCCACCTTCCAACACTTGCAATGGGGATGAAGTTTCCAACACAGGAATTTGGGGAGATGCACCTCTGAAATCCCATTTTTAGAAAAAACAAAGGACTCCTTTAAAAAGAGAAAAATATTTGAAACATAATTGTGTCTTTTGCCTCATTTTTTTGATACATTTGTTGACATCTGTTCCCCTTGTTAAGATAAGTTATTGCTTGAGAACTGTCTAAGGTGACATTTTAACAGTCTATGCTAAAAATCCGTCATTTTGTTCACTTTGGCTTCTAACTTTGAGATATTTTTGGATTCAAACATGTCAAGCTGTCGGGTTTGATGGCATTAATCTAACCAGTTTGGGCAGAGTTTTCCCTTTTGATAACTTTTCAAGCAATTTTTATAGGTATATTCCACTTTCAATTTGTCATGATCTTGTCTGAAGCACTGGTATCCCAGACCTGTGAGGATTACCATACTTGATCACTATTTATCTGAATTCCATGCAGCCTTAGGAGGAGAAAGCACTGGTTATATGTTTTTCTCAGAGAATTGAATTTTTGCATGGCTTAGGGACTTCATCCAAGTAACTCCAAAACCATGGGTTGACAATCAGTGCTTTACATCTTGTTACTTTCATCACATTAACAACTCACTTTTTTCTGAAGCCTGATGAAACAGCGGGTGGTTGATGAGAAGGGCAGGTGAAAGCCATAGGATATTGTTTCTCGGAGGCTGTGAGCCCCATGATCCTAAAAATTTGGGCAGGGAGTCCGGGGACTCCTGTGACTATTTCAGACAGCTTAAGTGGAAGTTACAAAGTTCCCAAAGGCTGCATGGGATATCTAAAAAACAAGTTTACTTTTGGCAAGAGTTGTAGTAACTGTGGTTTTCCTATTTGGCTCAGGAACACTAGTAGTAGCATTGCCTTTGGTTGATACTTCATGAGAACACAAGTTATTACCTATTAAGTGCTGTTTGTTTTATACACTTAACCATTCAAAACAGGGTAGGGATATATTGGGCGTGAGGGTGGGCTTTGGTGATGGCAGAGGTGGGGGGTGCCATTTTAAAAATGTCCTCCTCTTTTTCTAGTCCTTTTCCTTTCAGCTGTTTCATACTTTTGCCTATCATCCTTTCCTACCAGGTCTTTCCTCTTGTATCAAGTTTCTTAACCATTGGTATATACTAAAATGTGATACACACACACACACACAGTCTGGAGGTTTTTTGTACTGCGGTTTGAACTCATGACCTCATAACCTTGTACTTGCTAGATAGGTGCTGTGCCATTTGAGCCATACCCCTGTCTCTCGATTTTTGACAAAAGCACAGAATTCAGTGAATAATAATGTAACAGTGGATCTGGAACAATGTGATACCCACTTGCAAAAAGTTAAATCTGAATCCACATACCATACTAAAAATAAGAATAAACTCCAAAGGATCATAGATACAAATGTATAATCCAGAAATTGATAAATTGGATTTTATTATTGATCTGTTTCACAGATCAGTGGGGTGTGAAGGGAAGTAAAACCGGACTTTTATGGAGCAGTGAAACAAGACAGGTGTTGAGAGTGTTGTGAGACTTAGATGAAACTTATCTAAGGATGATGGGTTAGATGCCTTCTGAAAGTCCAGTTTTTTTCCTCCACCTGTGTTTAGCTTCAAACTAAGACTAGTGCTCAAAAACCTATTTCTTCTTGGGTTGGAAAGTAATCCATTTCTTTCCCTGGTTTGCAATAAAACAATTGCCTGTCAGTTGAGTTACAGTGATTGTGTTTTTATGTCTGAGGGATGTCTGTGAAGGATGGCGTTGGTACTCTTAATACTGTAAAAGACACTTGCCAATGACAACTTCTTGAGATATGATGGAGGCTGATTATGTCACTCCGTGTGACCAGGATAGTGCCTTTTAGCACTGGTGTTTGCTTCTACTGGACTGATCTGGCTTAGGAAGTACTTTGTTTTGAGTATTTGTGTTCACCCAAAATTCATGTGTTGAAATCCTCATCTCAGGGTAATGGTGTTAAGATACAGGCCTGCTGGGAGGTGATGAAAGTGATCAAACTGATTAGTTCCCTTATAAAAAGAGGTTCAAGGGAGTTTGATTGCCCCTTTCAACCATGTGAGGACACAGCTCACATAAATGGCAGACACCATTTATGAGGAAGAGGGCCCTCACCAGAAACTGAATCTGCTGGTGCCTTGAACTTAAGACTTTCAGGTCTCCAGAACTGTGACCAGTAAGTTTTTATTGTTCATAAATTATTGTAAGATCTTTTATTATGGCAACCTGGACTAAGGAAGTCTAGGTTGTAAGCTCCACCTGACGAAATGCTGTTGCAGGGTTGCTAATAACCCTTGACTGGCATCTGAACTCTCAGTCAGTGCTAGTGTCTGAGTCAGGAAGACTGAGGGTGAACTGTGACTCTTACGCACTCAAGCGCATCACCAATCTTTGGGATTGTGCTTTCTGTTACAGCATGCAAACACAAATACCAACTTTCTAATATTCTTATAATCAGAGTTAATGAATTAATAGGCTAAAAGGATTTATAAACTCTTCAGTGAGAAATAGACATGCGGAACTAGTAAAGTGAGCAATCTAGTAATTATTCCTTTTGTTTTTCCTTTTCACATGTTACACTTGAAATGCTAAATGTGATTTAATTCAGCATTCATTGAGCACAAACTATGTAGTGGTAGGAGTTAAAAGGAGATGTGATTTTTTTTTTTCAGAAGGCTGATCATCTTCAATGTCTATGAACATCTTTTAAAATTGTTTGCTGAATTCTAGTCTTAATGTGACTACATTCTATGAAAGGTGACACGACTCCTGGTAGTCTATACAGCTAAAATAGTTTTTGCTGAGAATTGCTGTGTTCATTCTGTTATTCTATACCTAACACTGAAATTTTAAATGTTAGATCCATTAAAAAACTAATTTAAATTCTAGCAAAGCATTTGACTTACAAGATTTGCATTTTTACATTAAGAATTTTATGGGACTGAGAAAATTGAGAGAAATTTCATTCCTGGCATGTCTCTCATTTACACTTTTGCCAGGTTTATTAATGCACATGTAGCACTTTGTGTGCAGGAAAGCAAGAGGTTTTTGAAGAATTGTGCTGGAATCTCAATCATTTCCCAAATGTCTTTAATCTGGTGTTCTCTGTAGGTGGGATATGGGCTGTGAAGTATATAGGAGTATTCTCTTGAAATTGTGGTTTTTAACTTTAAGCATTCATATGATGCTTACTGTAAGAAGTACTAATATTTTATAGCTTTCAGAGTAAAGATATTGCAAAGGAGGTGACAGGCATATACTGTTGCTAAAAATTATGATTTCTCTTAAATCTGATTCTTTTCACATTGCATATTTGGATTTGCATTAGTTGAAAGTTTTAAGAAAAC